CATGTTGCTTCTTTACTTATGCAGCACCCAACAATAGAACGCTGAGGAAATGATTGTCTGTGGTACAAGTACACACCCCAAGGAGAAATATTTGAAATACTTAAATTTTGGTCTGAAAGTGACTGCTTATAAACTAGTAGCCAAAGAAATTGTGCTTGTTGAGATTAGTGCAGTTAAAAAGTAACTAAATCTTTGAACAGCAGCAAAATAATGCCTTGTGTATATATCAGGAACCAGCAAGACCACCTCCTTTACAAGTTCAAGTGTGCAAGAGTGTAAACATTTTATTTGGGGAAAGATGCCCTGCGTCTCCTGCTGGAGAAGGGATACCCAAGGATCAGTTCCCTCAGATTTGTTTTACCGTATTCAGCCACAAGGTCCTGGCTAGCAGTTGAGGTGGTATCAGGGTTCAGTGTCATTCTCATGATGCTGGTTATTCAGGCAGGCAAAATGCGCATTGTGCAGTCATGGAAACGTCCACCCGGATGTCAGAGAAAGAGCTGTGGAGCCCGGCAAGGTGCGCCTAAGAGATGAATGTGTGAAGCTGTGGGAATGGAGCTAAAGGTGCAGTGGTGACAAAGGTAAAATAGAGGTGCCAGTAACATAGAGAACTCACATCTTACCACTTTGTGCCCCAGATTCTAGACATGGAGGTACAGGACTTGATGTTTACCCTACTGAAGTATGGTCTTGCTTCAGCTTGATGATATTCTATCCTCAGATTTCTTCCTTTTGGTATGCAAATGTTTAGATGATGCCATTGTGTTTTGGCAATGTGTAGATTGTCACTGCAGTTCAAAGGTAAGCATGCCTTGAATCTCAAAGATAACCCTGACTTGCACTTTAGAAGATTCGTGAAACTTTTGAGGTTTTCTAAAGAGGAATTAATGCAACTTTGGTTGTATGGAGGATAGTTCTGCATTATGTGGAAAGATAAAATTGCTATAGTCCTTATGTGTGATTAAATACGGTCTAAGGAGATGCGTTTGGGTGTTATGTTGAGAAGAGGTGGGATGTGATTGTGAGTAGTAATTGTCCACTTGTGTGACTCATAGGGTTTATAAATCCTCAGGGATTTGTGAAGCACACTTCCAGCTGTGTGTGTCTATGTGGATCATAGAAGCATGATCTTGGGTCCAGTTCAAGGTCTGTTCATCTCTCGTGCTGTTCTCCTGCTCTGTATCTTTGTTCTGATGGGCCTCCCATCATGAGATTTTTACCTGGAGCTAGCCAGTCATGGCCTTCAATCTTTAGAATGAGCCAAATCAACTTCTCCTCTTTTATTATGGGGTGTCCATTAATTTGTCCCAGTAACGGTAAAGATAACCAAATCACTGGTCATATGATTTGGAGTCATAAATGCTACTATTACAGAGTGTCTATTTCATTTGGGGAATTTTTTACTTTAATTTCAGTGAACATTTTTCCTACATCATTAATCTGTGCATATTTGGGGTTGTAAATCCTCCAATTACTTGAATATCTCTTTTATGAAGAGACAAAAATGTTAAAAAGAATGTGAATAATAAAGGTCATACTCAATAAGTTTCAGACAGGAACAAAAACTGTAGGCAATGACACTACAGATCATGTGTATTACACTTTATCCCCTCAAAAAAGAATCTGCAACTGTTCATTGCTCATGTCCTAATACTTTGTGGGAGACTAAGCATTTAAGATAAATTTGGTTTTACTGAAGAAACTTCCCCTAATCCCAGAGTCCAGACTGTGACATGATCCCTCTGGATACTTTCAGCCATGTTCAAAGCAAATATCAGGAGCAGAAAATGAACAGTAATATTTGAAAAGCTCAGATTTTGGCCTGAAGGGAGCCATGTGTGAGTTGAGGCCAAAGGAAGTGTGGTTGTTGAAAAGAACATTGTCAATAAAAGAAAAGATGCACTTTGCACAAGAACTAGGAGTAAGAGAACTTGAGGATGGCTCAGGAATCAGCAATGCCCCACCCAGCTCAGGCTGGAGTGCAAGAGTGTAAACTTTTCCTTTGAGAAGACAGGCCCTAGGTCCTGAGGAGGGCCATCCAGAGAATTGGTTTCCAGGAATTCGTTTCACTGTGCTCAGCCATCCAGTCACTCACAGGCTATGGCCTGGTTGTTGTTTTCACTTAGAGATCTGTAAGCGATGCTGGTTTTGCAAATATGCAGCATCCAAGAGCTGTATAATCAGTAAGTCTTCTGCTCAGGTTTCAGAGGAAATACTGAGAGTGCAAGCAAGGTTCACCTAAGAGGTCAGTGCATGAAGGTGAAGAAATGAAAGCAAAGGTACAATGGGGACCCCAGGCACTTGAGGGTCCCAGGATCATGGAACCTCTCCAGAGCAAGACTGCAGGCTGTGAATGGAGCCGCTGTGTGTAGCTGCCGTATGGGTTGTGACACTATGGTGGGGACACTTAAGCCCTCTGGAACTATCACCTCACCACCATGTGCCCTGAGTGCTGAACACGGAAGGCAAGACTTCGTGTTTGTCCTACTGAGCTTCAGTTTTGCTTCAGTGAGATTATTTTCTATCCCCCACTACTCCCTTTTGGACTAGGACTGTTCACCATGTGCCATCTTACCTTGGATATGTAACATTTCTAATTTTGCAGAGCTCATGGCTAAGAGTACCTTGATTCCCAGAGAGAATTGGACTTGGACTTTTGATCAATGCTGAAATTGTTCAGACTTGGCAAAGGCATTAGTGTGTTTCTAGTGGTGTACAACTGTGTAATGCTAAGTGAAATTTCAAACTTGGGATTGTATTTGTTTGGATATTAAGTACAGTTTAAGGGGATGTGTCTCCTAGTTAAGTTGACAAGAAGTGGATGAAGATGATTACTCATGGTTTATCAGCTTGTTTGGATAAAGAAATACCTAGTACATTAGTAAAGCACACCTCTGCATGTGTTCAGGTTGGCCATGGTGATGTGAGCTTATGTATTTTATGTGGTCACTGGCCCCTCCCTCTCTCATAATTTGCCTGTTCTTCTTCCCAGCCACATGCACTAAGCATCTGCCCTTCACCATGCACTTTTCACCTTGGAACCAGTCAACCATGAACTGACCACCCTGGAACTATGAAGCAAGTAAACTCTCCTCTTTAGGTTAGTGGTGTTGGGGTAACAAGGGTGAAAACAACAATGTATTGTGTGCATGATGGAGTAAATAGATCTCATTGCCCTGTATTAGTAAATGTCATGTTGGTGGGGGTGTAACGCAGTGATAAAGCATTGTGAGGTTCTGCATTTGATCACTAACAATGAAAAAGAAAAGTTATGCATTGCCTTCTCAATGCAACCATGTGCTGAATGTACACCAGGTAGCAGGCAGTTTACAAAAGCAAACAAGTAAACAGAAGCAACTGTGTACTAATGAGTCTTGTACCTAAGTTTGGAAAAATTTTTGTCTGTGAGCTCTGGAAAAGTTTTGATCATTGTACCTTGTTGTGGTGATCTCGTCCTGATGTCCTTGTCCAGAACTGTCCTCCGTTTGTTAGCCTCATGAGGGCTGGGGCGAGTGTATTCTGACTCTCAAGACTTCAGCATGCAGATGGTTTGTTCTGACGCCTTCTGCATCTAGTTTCCTGTGAGTTCTGAGAACACGCCCTGGATGGATCTTAGAGGGTGGACCGGAGAAAGAAATGGGGTCATTTTCTTTTTCCTGGATGTGGCCTCAGGTCCTTGCTGCAGTGTGGGCAAAGGGGACTCTTTGGGGCTCAGGCTGCACCGAGTGCCCTGAAGGCAGTTTCCTCAGCACTGGTGGCATGCTGGCCTCCGTGCTGCTGTGGAGGCACCAGCAGACTCCTGCTGCAGAATCTGTCAGTGCGGCCATGAGGGGGCTTGTACAGATGAAGCCAAGGCCGCTCCTAGTCCTCAGGTGGCCAAGCACTCCTCTTGAGCTGACCTCTCTGCTTCAGCAGCTGTCCCCACGGTTCATTCTGCCTGAGTAACCACTTCTTGCATTAAAACCCCCTCAGCTTGAAGGACACAGTGGGGCAGTGTCACTAGACACTGATTTGTGTGGTTAAAAGCTATCAAATCAATAATCCCAAAAATGTCATTCTTAGGTATGCTAAGTTCAAGTTTTCAATAGTAAATCAGGTTAAAATAAGAATGCTTACACAAAGATCAGTCTCTGGTTAGTGGTTTTTCCACAACAGCAATTATCATAGCATATAGCTATTCAGATTTCTTCACACACAGTGATTTATTGATTTTTGCCACCAGCTCCTTCAAATTATACTACAACAGTGTTTTCACCTGCACTACCATTGAATTTTGTTCATTTTTCCATCTTTGCCAGTTCCATAGATATCATATTCAGCTCCCCTTTCTTGATAACTAACAGATGTACTATGATTTTTCTTGTTTATACATGTAACTAGTGTTTTTGTCAAAAATTTTAAATTAAATCTGCATATTTCCATTGAAAGATTTTATTTGTAAATATAAAGGTGTTTATATATTTAAAACAGTAATCTTGTGGGCAGCATGGGCTGTAATGATTTTCCTTCAGTCTTGATCTTGATACTCTGCCTTCTCAAATTTTAAAAAATACTTTGCTGAACTTACTGACCTTACTAATTTCTTTCAGTGTTTTGAGCTTGGGAAGTCTTCATGCATTTGAAGATCATTTGAAACATCCACCTTTATTTTATTAATAAATGAGCTTGAGACATTTTGTATATTTAACTTCAGTATAGCAAGAATTTATTTGGGGAAATGTGTACAGTGGAGTGTTGACATGATTGCTCTCAGGTATTCTACCTGAAAATGTTGACTTATCTTTCCCTGCATTCATTCATTCCAAATTTTATTTGGTGGTCATTGTTATGTATCCAGTATCAGTTATGTGCTGGATTTGTGCAGTGAGGACAAAGACTAGGTTGACATAGATCTCATATTCTTAGAATAAACAAGGGGTATGCACTAAGAAGCACAGAATGTATATTTAGGTATTAATTGTGGGGAGATGCTGGCCAAAGGACTGACTGAACTGAATGTGCTAAGCAAGGGTCCTTTGGGAATAACGATTCCCGCGCTCCCGGAGGGCATGGCGAGCGTTCAGAGCAGAAACTGCAGGACAAGAGCCAGAAGAATGAAGAGTAAGTTACTATCAGAAATCTTCACTTCAGCCAATGTGGCCTGTCTGTGGCAGCAGACTGTTTAAACTAGGCTGGTTATGTCACATAACAAGACATCCCATGTCAACCCCGTCCCCTATGCAATATGTTGCAAAATGCTTTTCCTCTACATTTTTATTCTCTGGGCCTTGAGTTATAAATAAATAACAGCAGAGGTCTCCGTTGGTGGTGTTTCTCTATCCCCAAGAAGCAGTCGCTCTGAGTTCTTGGGGATTGAATTAAACCTTGTCTCTGAGTAATCTTCATCCTCTGAGCAGCCATGGCTGCTCACTGTGACAGTTACTATCTACCACGCATGGCATTCTTGTTTTTTTTGTTTTTGTTTTTTTTTTTTTGATTTTTTGGTTTTTCTCCGGTACCAGGAACCGAACTCATGACCTTGCGCTTGCCAGGCAGGCGCTTTGCACTGAGCTAAATCCCCAGCCCCTTGCATGGCATTCTTCACAGAAATAAACAAGTTATCCTAACGTGGGTATATGTGCACTAAAGACCTCAGCTGGAAAAAGCAATCCCGATGAGAACAACAAAGCTAAAGACTTCACACTCCCCGATTCCAGCCTGTTTTCAAACTATAGTAATAAGAATAGTATAACACTGTCATAAAAATAGACATCAAGGTCCGTGGAATAGAATGGAGACTCCAAAAGGCCTCCAGGTGATATGGTCGATTAATGTTTGGTGTGAATCCCAAAACATCGAAATGGGAAAGAATATAGTCTTTGCAATACGACATTGAGAAAACCGGGTGTCCACGTGCCAAAGAAGGACATTAGGTCTTATCTTACACCATATACCAAATTAATCAACACATATCAAAAACCTAGATGTAAGACCTAAGCTTTTAAAAATTCAAGAAAAATCATAGAGAAAAAGTCCCCTGGCATTGGTGTTGGAAATGGTATTTTTGCTATGACACCTGCAACAAGTACAACAATGGGTGGAACTCCCATCAATTTGCAAAGCTTCTGCATAACAAGAGTGGTGATTGAGAAAACAAAGAGGCAACAGATGCAACGGGGGAAAGATAGGCAAACTATGTAATGGGTGAGGGGTTAAAATCTAAAATGTAAAGGAACCAAAGCAACTCAACAGCAAAATGTCAAATAATCCAATTTAAAAATAAATAAAACAGAACAGATATTTTTACAAAGTAGACATAAAAATACCCTTAGGTGTAAAAAAAGACACTCAACATTATGAAACATCAGGGACATAAAAATGCAACCACAATGAGGCATTTCACACCTGTTAGGGTAGCTATTAACAAATGATGATGGATAATAAACATCATAGCCCTTGTAACTGTGGTGGACATGTAATTTGATACAGTTGTCGCTGAAAATTGTTCCATATATTATCAAAATGAAAAACGATACTACTATATGATTCAGCAACACCATTTGTTGGTACATATTCAGATGAAATGAAATCAGTGTATGTAAGAGTTATTTTCACCATGTTCATTTTAACATTATCCACAATAGACAAAATAAAGATGATCTAAGTGTCTTCCAAGGGATGATTCCATGAAGAAAATGTACTACACACACACACTCACATAAACTCATCCCACAAAATGAGGAAGCTCTGGTACTCTGAGATCACGATCGGAGAGTCTTATGTTGAGTGAATGAAAACAAACACAACACAGAAAGGCAAACTCTGACTGATCTTAGTTACATGTGGAATGTAACTAAATCACGCTCATAGACACATAGTGTCTGCCAGATGCTGTCCAGTTTACAGGTAAATGTTGTCCAAAGCATAAACTTTTAGATAGATGATGAATAATGTGTTGGAACTCACTGTGCATGGTGATGACCTTAGTTAATAGTACTGTATGGTAAATCTGAAATTTCCTGGGAGAGTAGATCTTAAGGGTGTTCAATGTCAAATGAAAATTATGTGAAGTAATGAATGTGCTAGTTAACTTCATTATGGTAATCACATTCAATATGTACATATATCAGATCCTTACAACGTAGATCATATAAACTAACTTTCTTAATATCATCTCTACTACATTAAATCTCAAAAGAAAAAGGAGACCACAATAGCAGTAAATAAATTTGGCATGTTATCCTCAGCAGAAATGAGTCACAGTAAAAAATTTATATCAGATAAAGGTATATGCAATGAGAAAGAACAAAGTAATAAATGAAATCATTTAAAGACCAATATTTTTGTTAGTTTTCCTTTTATTTTTATATTAAAAAGATGCACACAAGTTTTACAAAACATGCCAACTTCAGTTAAAAGCTACTTGCAGAGAAAATAGCCAGACTGAGGAAACTAATCTGGCATTTGTTGGAAACAACTGTATTTTAGAGGTAAACACTATGTGAAATTTATTTCAATGACTGGTAAAAATTCTTCACTAACATTAACTTCTGGAATCTAAAAATGAAGCTTTATGTCACAGTTTAAGAGGGCTTTTTGAGAATCAATTTTTTAAAGTACAAAGTTAAATGGTCAGGAAAAGTACCCCATAAGTAACTGGAACAGTAAAAAATATTCCTCTTACTGCACATATGGATGCTTCAGTTTTATCTGTATTTACAAACAAATGTGTGTTGGAAATACAGAAGGAAACTAAGTTAATACAAACTTAGAAGAAGCACAGTTAGTAGAAGAAGCACAATGAATAGAACACTTTGCAAAACAGCAATAATTACATTTAGGCTTTCACATAAGAGGAAAGATGTAAACATAGCTAACCACAAACAGCATATAAATTAGAGAATAAAATGGTCTTAAGTATTATAAAGTCCTATGTAGCCTTTATGTAAAAATAAAGCATGCAGTGAAAAAGAAGAAAAGACATTCCACACAAATGTTAACTGCAAGAATGTGGATTCATCAGACAAATTTACAAAAACATATTCATAAAGAAAAAAAAGGCAAAAAAAAAAAAGAAAAAAAAGGCATTCAAAATAATAAAAACGTTCAATTTTAATTTTGCATATGCTTACTATGAGGGCTGTAAAACATATCACATAAACATATGGAAGTAAAAGGGGGAAAGCGGTGGATGAGAATTAACAAATTTGAAAGGAATAATTCCCAGTGGGACAAAAACACAATACCCAAAAATAAAATGCTTTCTACTTATGGAATATTTACAAAAATTTCATCACAGAACAAGATATAAAATAATGAACAACACATCTCAGAGGACTGAAGTCTTTGCTCCATTTTATAAATTCGTGATTCCTTGAGAACGTAAAGGGAGGTGGGAGGGGGATCCTGAGATGCGGGAGCAGGAGGAGGCAGACTCAGAAACGCCTGAGGCGGGACCAGGCGCAGAGGAACTCCCCGCGCTGACACAGCCTAGGTGCAGCACACACGTGCTTATACCCGAAGTAGAGAGGTCCGCTGGTCGAGTCTGTGGGAACTTCTAAGGCACCAGCTGACAAGTTACAGAAATAGTGCACTTCCTAAATTCTGTTTCAACTCAAAACTCCATGAGATAAACTCTTTGTCCTTTTTGTTTTGATACCGGAGTCGAATCCAGCAGCTCCTCACACCGAGCTTCACCTCCTGTCTTTTCACTTTTCTTTTTCAAACCCTATCTCACTAAATTGTCCTGGGACGGCTTCGGCTTGCAGTCAGCTTGCCTGTGCTTCCTTGGGCGCTGGGATTATAGCTGTGCTCCACCACGTCCGTCTTCGACATTCTTTTTTAAAAAATCAGGAAATGAAAACTGAAGAGAGTAGGAGAAATAAACCGCAGAAGAGAAGGGACCAACATACCCAAACAGCATGTTTTTGCAGCGATGAGTAACTCTGATCATTCTCTGACAAAATGACCAAGAAATACGAGAGAAGATGCAAACACCCATTCCCGGTGAAAGGAAAAGGGCATCCTTAGACACCAGGGAAAGACCGGACTCAGGTGCACTCTCAGCGGTGCCCCCGGAGACGCCGCCCACGCCGCGGGCTCCATCCCCAGCTAGGCAGTGCTCCAGACTGGGTCCTGAGCCACAGGGGACCTGCCTGAGGGAGGGGGTCACTGTGATGCTTGCAAAAACACTGGTAAATACAAAATGCAACAATAAACAGTAGTAAAAGCGAATTACAAGTGGATGCATATATAGGAAGACTGATCTGCATGTGAAATAACTAAGTCACCTTGGCTTTGTGCACAGGCAATTGACCTTACGAGCCGGAGCTGGTCGCTGCCCGCCCCTCGGACCCCTGCTTCTCCTCAGCTCCTGGGCGGCGGTGGAACGGGCTGCGTCCTCCCCCAGCCCGCCTTTCTGAGGCTGCTGCCTGGGAACCGGTGGAACAGACTGAAACCACGGGCCAAAATAAACCGTTTATCTCCACATTCTGCACATCAAGAGTTTGATTCCAGAGATAAAGGATGACTAAAGTGTGCTTACTGATTTTGAAATATATGCTATAGGCTCACGAAACGCACCCCATAATTCTGCAAAATATGCACCAATGAAAAATTAGTGTGGAAATGCCAGTGCAATCCACAAATACATACAGTGTATTCTTATAACCTTATTATGCAAATGTATTGCCAAATAAACTAAGTACATAAATAAGAAAAATTTATCACAAACTATAATCTATCTGCATGTATAATACAAAGAAGAAACTACTACTAATTATAAAATTGATCAAAACTACATTTGATTAGTTTAGTGCATTAAATAACAGTGATATTTTTAAAATCATACATTGATTATTATGCATTGCTATGCAACAGTAGAGCCATGATACTTACAATAACATGGGTGAGTGAAAAACACAGTAAGAAATATGACGAAAGCACATAATTGAATACTTGTAAAATGATTGCTCTGTGTGTGACTACAATTTATCAGCATTGTCATGAGCCAGAGAAGGCACTGTGGGCTTTCTGTGCAGAGTGCCGCACTTACTACTCAGAACTCCACAGGGAAGTTCTTCTCCATCTCAATGGGAGGCAAGGAAAGCACACGGGCTGGAGCAAGCTCGAGGAAGTCAGATTCCTTCACACATGAACTAGAAACTCAAGAATGGCTTACGAAGCCCAACTCTTTCAAGGATTCTATTGTACTGCTAAGTTCCCCAAAATACTAGCAACCTCAAAGGGGATTTCAGTTTTTCTTTGCAGATTTTTCTCCAGAGTGATAAAAAGACAAACGGACATGCACTGAAAACAAAGAAATCAAATGCCAATCAAAAGCTCATCTACACTCCGATAATGAGTGATAATCAGTGATAAGACTAATCTTATCAAAAGTGTGATGACCGCATCAGGATACCGACCAGGGTTTGTTATACTTGACCAGCTTTGCTCCTTCTTTTTAATTAATTTAACTTCATCAGCTTATAAGACTGTGCTTCTAACCACCACTAGAAAAGCTCCTCTTCCTTTATAGGGGCTACTTTTTCCCCCAGTCAGTGGGATTCTCTCCCAAATTCACACAAAATCCTTTACACCCTGAAGGAAAAATTGCCCCAGGGGAGCAGAAGTGCTCAGTTCTAGTGCCATGTGGAGAAGCCAGGCCTACGGAGGCAGCTGCAGGCACGGGACACCCCGCACCCATCCAGTGCCCGCACATCAGGCAAGCCCAGTGCTGCTTGCCTCACGGTGCTGACGGGCAGCTCCAGGGCAGACACCATCCTCATGCACATCTGTCAGAGCAAGTGTGCTCTTCCCTGATTTCTCTTACGGGTGCACTGACCACATGGATTACTTTACTCTCTAAAATAATAGTGATTTGGTGTTGGTAAGACCACAGAAATTCTCTTGGTCTCATGAGACATAGCGGGGGATATAAGGCTAGGGGCAAATCTACAATCATAGTATTGGTTAAGGCAGTTTCAGAGGAACAAAGTCAAGAAAATGAAGACTTCCTAAAGCTTGACCCTTCTCCAAGGGTGCTGTTGTATTTAGTCTAAAGAAAGTAGACTGTCATTTAGGATATCATTTCTAAATCCTGTAGAAATTAAGAGGAAACCACTTTCATTTACATCTTCCAGATTAGACAAATCCATTATCTTTCTGCACTTTAATATTGATAAGCATTATCCAGGTAGTTTTTATGAGCAAAATCTTAAGAACACTGATGTTTGTACTATAAACCTCACTTTCAGGATTTCTAAAACATGTCCCTTTGTACTTACTGAGGTACTATATCAAAGTCACTGGAACCGAGCAACTGTCACAGGTGAGCAGTGGGTCCCAGAGTACTGCAAAGTGTAGGAACATCAGTGTCCGTTAAGGCTCTGCATGGCCCTGAAACCTCCAGAGTGAGTCTCCTTCAGGGTTTCCATGCACACCTATGTCTCACATTACGATGATCCATGAGCCCGACCTTGGAAGAAGATAAGACAAAGGCCACTTAATGTGTCTTGTGCTTAGGTCAGCTATGGCAACACAGTTAAAGGAGCTCTATTGAAATAAAATATAATGTGATAAATAGGATGAATAAGCAGTGTGAGGAGAAATTCCACATGCGTGAGAAAGTGGAAATGTAGGTGGGCCTCCTTTGGGGATGCTGAAAGCAGATGAGAAGACAGCAAAGAAGAGAAGGTCGTTCCCAGGCTCTCCCTCTTACAGTGCTCCCAAGGCTCACTCTTGACCGAACCATGCTCCGCAGGGCCCTGGCAATATCCTTGTTCTGAATGCTGTAGGTGAAAGGGTTCAGCACTGGTGTGATGATGGTGTACAAGGCAGAGGCCATGATGTCCTGCTGGGCTGTGTGGTAGGCACTGGGAAGGATGTAGGCATAGAAGGCGGCACCATAGAAGAGCACCACCATGATTACGTGGGAAGAGCAGGTGGAAAAGGCCTTCCTGCGGCCCTTGGCTGAGTTCATCCTGTGGGTGAGACACAGGATGAAGGTATAAGAGCCCAAGATGACCAGGACGGGGACCGGGATCATGAGGACACAGCACAGGTACATGAGCAAGCTGTAGAGGGAGATGTCAGAGCATGACAGCTTGAGCAGGGCAGGGGTCTCACAGAAGAAGCTCGGGATGTTCCTGGCCTTACAGGAGGGGAAGCTCATGGCGACAGGAGTGATCAAAAGGCCATCGAATATCCCCACAAACCAGGACCCACATGCCAGGAGCTGGCACACCCTCGAGTTCATCAGTAGTGGGTAGTGGAGAGGTCTGCAGATGGCAGCATATATGTCATAGACCATGGCTCCCAGGAGAAGGAATTCGGCTCCAGCCAGGGTCAGGCAGAAGAACATCTGGATCCCACAGCCTGAGGGAGAAATTGTGTGATCTCCAGTGACCTGGCCCAAGAGCATCTTGGGCCCCGTCGCAGATATGTGCATGAGGTCCATGAGCGATAGCTGGCTGAGGAGAAAGTACATGGGGGTGCAGAGGCGGGGGTCTGAGTGGATCAGGAAGATGAGGAGGGCATTGCCTGCCAGGGCCAGCAAAAAGACAATAAAGATCACAGTGTAGAGTAGGGCAGCATGCTTGGTGTCCACAGGAAGCCCCATGAGGATGAAATCAGTGCTTGAAGTTTGATTCCGTGGAGTTAGGCTCCCTGAGTACATGGCTGCATGTAGTTTTCACCTGAGGAGAAACAGGAAGAGTCAGGATTTTATATCCAGTGTACATACAGAGCTATTTTTGGTGAAACAGGCATGTGCTGTTTTTCAGAACACTGGGTTAAACCGGGGTGGGACCATACATTCGGATCTCAGGGAGGCCAGGCTAATGTGGGCCACAGATGGAGTGAAATACAAAGCAGACCTTGGGGGCTCCGTGAAGCAGCCATGAGCTCTATGAAGAGACAGGCATTTGCACTCAGTAACTCTTATTTATTTACCCCAAATTGAGAATGTACAAAGCCTGGCCTTAGGGATGATTAGAGACTAAAGTTAGAAAAGCACATTGAGTCTACAACAGGAGTTAACTCGATGTGTTCAAGAACTTTCAAACCCAGTGGCTCTTCAGGCTTAGCGACGGAAATCAGTGCTGAAGCAACTGGCAGCGTTAAAGTTGTTCATACTGTTAAAGTCCTGACTGAGGTTCTCCAGAAACCTCACATCCCTCAAATGCCTTCTACTAGCGTGTGTCTCCAGTACAGCTCCCTTCCCTCACTTCCGTTTCCCAGCTGTGCCTCACACCATTGAGGTCTGTAGACAGAGCAGCCAGGAGGTGGGAGCCGGGCGGGGCGTCCAGCTGGCCTGGGAGAACCACTGGGCTCAGCCCTGGAGCAGAGCAGGAGGGAGCAGGGCTGGTGGGACCCTCACGATCCACAGTGAGGCCCAGGGATTTCTTTTATTAACTGTTCTACAGACAAATGATCTTAGCAGAAACTGCAAAGACGAGAGGTGCAGATTCTCTAAACAAAGTTTGTATGTAGTTCAATAATGACTTGTGTTCATTTCCCTCCTGCTGACATGCTTCATCCCCCGAAATACCACCTACAGTGTGCACCACGAAAGGCAGCAGGTGGAGAACAGCTGCAGCCCTATAGTTCCGTTTAGGAATCCCTCTCATCCTGCATCTCAGTTTACTTCGAAAACAAGTAAAATCCGCCTCTATATACCCACAGCTTTGCTCAGGAACTGCTCCACCCAAATACATCCATTTTTAATTTTTCAGTCAAATAGCTTGAGTCTCACTTGACACAATTCTGTGAAAATCTCTTAATCTAAGCACAGGGTTATGCTCTAGACTACCGGAGCGTCAGCAGCCCCAGGATGAACTGAGACATGGAGAGGCCTCATTGTTACGGTACCCCCCTGTAGATCTGAGCAGTGTGCAGAAGCAGCAATGCGTGGGAACAGGAAATGCAATGCAATAAAGATATCAAGGTCACAGGAGAAGTTGGAATTACATAAAAGACAGCAGCAGCAACAAAACTATGCACCTTGGTCTTCAAGTCTTACCCTTAGAAGTCCTCCAGAGACTTCTCAACGAGCCACATTCCAGCGAGCATCCAACAAGGCACAGGTGCAGACTTCTGTGTCCTCTCTCCTGCTCCAATGGGGACTGAGTCTGGGCCAAGCCAGGCAATTGCAGCAACATCGCAAAGCTGGGGCCCTCTGGTGAATTTAGGAGGCAAAGCGGGAAGTTGCATCATGGCTTCTTTCTTTAGGGAATTGAGGTGAATGTCTTCTGTTTAACACCTGGCACTGTTGAGCAAGCAGAAAACTAACCAGACTCAGAAAGGCGGGCGGAATGGTTATTTTTTTTTTTTCATTTATTCCCTGTGCCATGTAACTGGATCATTCCAAATTCCGCTATGGATGTGGACTCCCGCTTTCCTCACAACAGTGTATGCGCAGCCAGAAGAGCACAGAGCGGGGAGATGGTGTCACGTCTATGTACCAAACTCCTCAGGGAATGGGGTGCTGTGCAGCACACATGTTGTAATAAAAACTAAAGGTCAGGAAAATAATTTGTATTAGTGAAGTTTACTGGTACATTTTAGGTGTACATAATGATCACATTCATCATAGCAATTTTGTACCTGTACATGATATAACTTAATTCTTCTTTTTATCCTCATTCCCCTACCTGCTTTTCACCCTGTCTTCCCCTCCTTCTTTACAAAAATTTTGTATGCATTTTCCTCTTTTCATTATTTTTTTCTATTCTCTTCCTTCCCCCTCCCCCCTCCATAGTTCCCCTTCACCTTTAAGTATTATCTTCCTCTGTCACAATATCTATTCTAAATTTTGGTCCTTAGTACACTTTTGGTTTCTCACACCAGAGAAATGATGTGATACTTGCACATGTGTGCCCAGTTAATTTTACTTGTGAACTCAAGCTGCATCCATTTACATAGACATATCCCAAGCGTATCCTTCTTTATGGGAGAAGTGTACTCCATTGTTTAAAAGGGTACAACTTCTTTATCCATGTAGCAGTTGATGAGCATATGGGCTGTTTTCAAGATTTAGCTACTACAAGCTATGCCTCTATAGACATGGGTATGCGTACATCACTGCGGTATGGTGGTTTTAATTCTTTCAGGAAGATACCAAGAAGAAAAATATCTTGGTCAAAAGAAACCTCTACTTCTAGTTTTCTGAGGAATCTCCACACTGATTTCCACAGTGGTTACACCAGCCTACACTCCCACCAAGGGCAGAGAAGCGTTCCATTTTCCTCACAGCTCAATCAGTATTTTTTATTAGTTGTTTTCTTGATATTAACCATTCTTTCTGGGGAGAGGTAAAATCTCAGTATTGTTTAAATTTACATCTCTTGAAAGACTAAAGATGTTGAACATTTTTCATATATTTATTTGCCATTTCTTCTTCTTCATCTGGGAAGTGTGTATTCATCTCAGATACACAATTTTGGATTATGTCTTTAAATTTGAGGAGATCTGACTTTTATGAGTTCTTTATATTCTGGATAATAGTAATTTTTCTGAGGAAGAGCTGACAAACATTTTTTCTAACATTGTGCATTGTCTCTTCATTCTCTTGGTGGTTTTCTCTTGCTGTGAAAAAATTTTAAATGAGATGATTTCCCAGTTGTTGATTCTTTCTTCAGTTCCTGTGTGATTGGCATTTTGTTCATAAAGTCTATGCCTACACAAATGTCTTCAAGAATTTTATCTATCTTATCTTCCAGGAGATTTAATGTTCCTATTTTAATATTTAGATCTTTAATCTATTTTAATGTTAATTTAGTTCATAGCAAATATATGGGTCTCGTTTTATTCTTCAACATGTAGGAAGCAAGTTTTTCCAGCACCATTTATTAAAGATGCTAAACTTCTTCCAGTGAATGTGTTTGGAAATTTTGTCAAGTATAACGTGGCTGAGTAT